ACTTCCACTGAGGGAACAATCAGTGGAACTGCTCTTTATAGAAATGAAGAATGCATTTGCTCTGACTGTTCATAAAATTCAAGGATTGACCTTGCCACATGTAATGTTGAATGTTGACAAAAGTATGTTTGCTGAGGGGCAAGTGTATGTTGCAATGAGTCAAGCTCCCTCATTGGAAAAACTGCAAATCCTTGATTTTGATTATTCTCAATTAAAAATTTCCAGGGTGGCTTTGGAAGAGTATAAAAGATTGGAGGCTGTGAGCATTGATGGGTTACAAAAACTAACAACATTGTAAAAAAAATATTCTTTGTAAAAAATTAAATTTTTTAAAATTTGTAAAAAATTCTACGCTGATGCTTGTGTAATGTGATGATTACACAAACTCACTGCAACCTATTAAAATCTTGTTAATATTGATAGATTGATTATGCCAAAAGTCACATGGCATTTCACAAAAAGAAATATATTGTATATATATTTTTTTTTTTTACAAGTTTCATTTTTTTCACACGTTGCACACTTCATTTTTTAATTTAATAATGAGTAAATCCAAAATTTCCAAATGGTTAAGATCTGGTGTTATCAAGCAAAATATAAAGAGTACACTCAAAGCTACTATCAATGCATTACATAATGCATGTCCATTAAAGGTCTCTTGTGAGGTTATATCCAAAGCACTTTGCAATATTTTACATAATGACAAAGACTTTCATGAACAGTCTGAAATACACACTAAAATATTTGACTGGCTTGAGGAAAAAAATCCCTCCCAACCATCAAGGCCATATTAATATGTAGTATTCAAAAAACAGGTTTATTCTTCTGCTTTTTTGGATCAAAAATGATCAATCATTACAGCAACCAAGGATCATCTCCCCCACCAGTAAAGCATACTTTTTCTTTCACTGATGAGGAACAAGGGCCTTTATTGAACCTATTTTTAATTTGGTTGAAAAAGCACTTAACAAGTTCCTTATTGAGAATGAACATACGATTCTTTCCACTGTCCCTGAGACCTTTGCCTCCAAACATCACATAAATCCAGATTTTGATAATGTGGATACTCAATGTATGCTTAATTTCATAATTGAGAATATAAAAATTTTTGACAAATCAGTATTCCCACAGTCAACATAAATCAAATCCGACTCAGCTTTTCAAAAAATATAAGAACAATTTTAGGAATATATATGCAGCCCAAATTGGTTTGGTGATTTTGATGGTCAAAAATATTCCAATTTTGATGGTAGAAAGTAGAAATTAATTACGGCACTCACTATTAAAACATAAGTGTAACACCCCTTTATGACAGTGTCAAAATACTTTGGGCTGCATGTATAGTTAGGAATAGGGTAGCTCATGGAACTTTAATAGATCAAAAAGGTTGATGGAGTGACCACAAACTCCAACATATTGCTATACTTGCATGCAATGTTGTCACCTGTTTAGGTAAATAATTTATAACAATAAATAATTTTGTATAAGAGTTTGAACTGACTCATCATTTCTTTTGATACTAGGTGGCAACTATAAAGAATTACATGCTATAAAAGAAAAACTTGATAATAAGATTATTCAAAAATGGATGGGAAAAACAATTCCAGAGGTTGAGAGCAATAATAGTGAGAACCAAAAAGAAAACAATGACTCAAATTTTTATGAAATGATAACATTCATTTGTGATACTCTAAATGAAGCAAATGAAATGAAAGAGGGATCCAAGCAAAAGATAATGAAGTTGGTGTTAAGGGAAGATGAAGATATAATACAGATATGCCAGGCTGTTAAAATCAAAGAGTGCAAAAGTGAACAATCCCATGAATTTATTGAATTTGTAAACCTTGTATTTAATGTAATGAGTATCAAATTTTAGTCTTTCCTGTACAATAAATCCTTGTGCAAATCAGTACTCACTATATTTTATTTACCGAACTTAAAATGTAACAACACTGAAGTGGAAAAATTGAAATTGGACTCCGATTCTCCTGAAGCAAAACAGGTACATATTTATGATAACTATAGTTGGTAGTGTGATGTGTGTGGAATAATGATGCCGTCTGTAAATAGTTTAGCCATTTTGTAATATGACAACTTTTCAAGTATGCAGTTGTCAGAAAATCTGTAATATGTAAATGTATCTGTAATTCTATAATTCTGTAATATGTAAATGTATCTGTAATTCTGCAATTCTGTAATATGTAAATGTATCTGTAATTCTGTAATTCTGTAATAAATATGTTATGTAATTGAAAATTATAATCAAATCAAAATTTTTTGCAGTTTA